CTGTTTCATACGGTAAACTTTTTCTTTTGTGCTACCCTTGTTTTGGGATTAATTTGATTATGTCACTCAGCAGCTCTACAAAACAAAGTGCTAAAGTCAGATAAGGTGGGTCATTAATTCATTGTCCATGCTATGATATAATATTTTGTAATGTCATTTTTATGAGCTGTAGTCAGCCGACGTTGAAGCTACCATATCTTATGTGAGTGCATAAGGTGCAATTGTTGTTGAATCCACACTGGTGATTGCCTGTATTAAAAAAAAATACGATTTCAAAATCGATTTAATGTGCATTATTTTGAAAATATAACACTAACAAAGGAATACTGTAACAACAAAGCAATAATGATAAACAGTAAAAACAGAGTAATACTGATGAACAGTAACAACAGAGCAATAAACAGTAACAACACAGCAAAACCTAAAACCACAGTAAGAAATTTTTTAAGTGCATGGAAATTTCCCTGTTGAGGGATGAATAACTCCTGATCCTGCTATGTGATCACTTTGTAGCTCCTCCGCCGGTGCGTTCTCGCCCTCGTTCATTTCGCCGGTGCCAGTGGCAGTAGCTCTCACATAAGTTTGATGTTTCATTTCCAATCCATTTATGATTACATCCTCCGACTGCATGTATTGCTCCAAGTCATTGACTCTTCTCTCCAGTGTGCAATAACCTTATCTTTGTCTTTCAGAATTTCTTTCAGCTCCTTTACTTCAGTCAGCAAGCTTACTATTTGAGCTTGCTGTTCACCCACATTGGAGAGCTTTTCCGTTATGGAATTAAGCTTTTTTTTTATTTCTTCCAGCTCTTCCTCCACATAATTACTTGCTTTCTTGGGTGGCATGTTTGTTTCATTTAATCTCATTTGATGTCCAGGTTTAATTCAATTCAACTCTGTTAGCTTATCTCTGACGTACACGTGCAGCAGCTTGGCGGCCATCTTGGTATTTCCAGGTTTCAGTTCACGGTAGTCTCTATACAGGGCCTAAGTGTGCCATCCTTCTTTTCAACAAAAAAACAAAAAACAAAAAAAACCCCCTGCACTAAGCGAATAGAAGATGGGCAGATTATTTCAGCATGCAAAGAGTCCCTGATGTACTTCTCCATGGCTACCCTGTCTGGCTTAGGCATACTATAAAACTTACTCGAAGGCAAGGGGGCCCCAGGCAAGACGTCGATGGAACAATCATAGGGTCCAGAGAGAGTGCCAGGTCCTTGCTGAAAACCTCCTGCAAGTCATGATAGATTTCAGAACCCCCGTAAGGTCCAGGGCCTCAAGGTGGGTGCAGTCAGTGGACTCTATCTTCGTGTGTTGAGCAGACTGTAGACAAGTCAATGAACGGTAATCACTCCAGAGGAGAATTCTTCCAGAGGATATGGGGGTTATGGACCTTCAACCAGGTATAACCAAGCACTAAAGGGAAATTAGAAGACCTTAGGACAGTGAATTGGATCTGTTCTATATGATTATTGGAGAGGATAAGTGTAACTGGGCTGGTGCACTGGGTGACTTGAGCCAATAGATGACCGTCTAAAGTTCTGGCGATCAGAGAATGGTCCAGAGACTCTAAATGGATCCCAAGCTGTCTTGCCAGTTCCTGGTCCATAAAGCTATTGTTTGCTCCTGAGTCTACCAAGGCCCGTAAAGGGAATGAGTCATGACCGTAAAGGGAATGAGCCTCTCTGGGAATTCTTTTTTGCTGGAGCTGCTGTGAAATGGCTTCCAAGATCAGTGTCAATCCACACAAGTTCTCCCACACTGTAACTGTGTGTAACTTTCCCTGCGCAGAGTGCTTTTCCTGGGGTGTGGTCTTCATTTTTGAGTGCAGATGGGCACTGAGATGGATTCTGGATTGGCCTGAGACAGACTGACTCCTGAAGCTTTAGTGATTGTTCCACTATAGACTCCAGTTGAGAAATGCCATAATCCTGCAGGGCAGCAATGGAAGTGGAGAGAAATGGAACTTCCCTTGTGATGCGTGTGCTAAGGTTGCAGTACTGTGAAGAACACTGTTTTGAAAAATATACACTTGCAATGTTCCTCATTGTCTTCTGTATTACTGTTGAGATGTGGCACTGTGCATCAACTTGAAGGTCACCAGACTTCAACTGGACACCTGTGAATATTTCACTTAGCAGCTCTGCTCTCTGTAAGTAAGCCTGCTGGGTCACACCTTTTGTGGCAATCGCTTTCACCAGCTGGAGGACTCGATTGTCACATTCTTCATTGTTAGTAACGTTCTGAAAAGTAAGACTGTCACAGAAAGCGCAACATAAGCACTGACAAAAAGCATCAAATGCACATGTGTTCAGCAGAGAGACTCTTGATTTCCTGAGTTTAACAGGCTGTTGATTGTTTCCATTTTTTAACAACTCTACTTTGACTCTTTTCCCCCTAACAGATGGATCTGCATGGAGCCATTCAGGGCAAGGAAAGAGGTAGGAATCCCTCCTCTTTTTTTTGGGTGGAACACCTAGGCCTCTCCAGTTTTCAACAGGTTCTTCATCTGTTGGATGGATACTTGTGGCAGCATTAGATACCTCACCAGGTACAGCTTCCATTTTTTTGTTCCCTTCTGTACTAATAGTGGGTAATGGATTGGCTGACGTCACAGTCACTGTTCCAATAGCTGCATCCTCTTCACCTTGTTGTTTTGCAAAACAAATCCGCATGTTTCCTTCAACGAAGGACAGATGACGAGCAATGAATCGATCCACACGAATAGGTAAATTTTCATGCTTGAAAAGTCCATGTTTGATGTTTTTGAACTCTGCTTCAACTGCAGCTGAACTTGAAGTGACATTGGTGCTTTGGAAGAGAGGGACCATTATCCCTGTCCAGAGTGGTAAGTAACGTACAAGTCTTATTATATGGGGAATGATCTCAGGGAGGTAGTGCTCTATCTCTATCTCTATCTCCATCAGCCATGGCAAGTGACCTGCTCTCATCACAAATTTCTGTAACCCACTGCTGTAGGTCAGTGTGTATTTCATCACAGAGATTCACTTGTTCCAGTTTCTCTTCCTCTACCTCCTCTGGAATGAAGACTGACTCTTCTGCAATTTGAGCTTTCAGGTAGTTCTTGCACCTTTCTGATGTGAGAGGTGCTCCGGAACTGTCATTGCCTTCTGCCTCGCTCAGTGCCACAATAGTGATAGCACGTATTAGCTTTTTAGCATGGTTCAGAGACTGTGATTTAAGAAGCTGTACTATTGAACTCACAAAAAAATCTTTAATGCGATGTATTTTGTTTTTCAGGCAGTCCCACTGGCAGATCATTTTGATGCAGTGTGCTACATCAACCCTGACAAAACAAGAGGGCAGTTTTGCAGACCGTTTCCCAAGTAAGACACCAAAGCACTCATTGATATAAGACTTCAGGTCAGGGTGAGGAGTAAAAGCCTTGACCAAAGCCCCAAGCAAGGCCAGAGAAAAATCACTGACAACTTCTTTTGGAAGTGGTGCTCCTGCACGAATCCATTCTGTCAGCCACTGTGTGATTGCATTAGTATCATGTCTCTCTGACAACATCTGTACCACAGGGACACTTGAGCTATTATGCCCTGTCAGAACGCCCTGATACAGGAAGATGTGCCCAGATGAGCCATTTGGTCTCACCAGTTTCCTGACTACGGAGCCTGTTGCATCAAAACACACTGTCTGGTGAGATTTCTTTGATAATGTTTTATACACATGCATTTGGGTTTGACTCCAGTAGTGACAGAAAAACTTGTCCAGGCCAATGTCTCTAATGCTACCACTGTGAGGTGCACTATATTTTAACAGCTGCAGTGACAAAATTGGATCTTTGTCAGCTAATTCCAAGTCGTTCCTCTGTTGCTTTGCTTTCGCAGGGCCAAATTGGGTAGATAGCTTGGCTCAGGATCTCCAAAGTCCATCAGCTTTGTTGCCTGTGATGCCCGCCATAAA